CAACAGGACTGTCTCCTCACACCGACCCTGAGGCACTGTGTCCCTCTTGTGTGCATGCCTCCGGCTCCAGAGGCAGCCAGGAGTGGGGAGGCACCAAGGCAGGGCCTCAGCCCTGGGGTCAAGGCAGAACATAGTAACAGACCCAAGGAAGGAGCTTGGGGAGTGGGAGTAAGATAAGACCAAACCCAGTTGTTGGAGTTGGGTGCAAAATCAGGGTGAGATCATGAACACTGCAGATTTGATCCTGAGTTGTGAATGCCCCAGAGACCCACTGATCTCCAAGCCTGGGCTGGGCCTGAGTTTGGGGATGGGGAGGTTAATGGAAAGGGCTGGAGTGACCGGCAGAGTGTGGACAGACCCTGCCCCTCTCTAGCCGCGTGCAGGTGAGCAACTTACTTCATCTCTCTGGGCTGTTTCCTTATCTGAGAGGGTAGACCTAGAGGAACAACTCCTATGCTAGGTGTGTGCATCAGAATTACCTGGGACCTTGTTAAAATCAGGGTGCCTGGGGCCCTCCTTGTACATTGATTCAGAAGGTCTGGGAGGATCCTGGGGGTCTGGACATTTTGCAGGTTCCCCAGGAGATTCTGATCCACACACCAGTGTTGGAGAGCCCCTGTACGAAGTGAGCCCCAAGGGGTCTTCCAGCTCAAACGTCCCTTTATGCTAAAGTTTACTAAACCAGGTGTAAGAAAGCATAGAAGATAGGCATTCACCTCACTTAATTATTAGGCAGCATTCGAATCAGACACTCTATCAGTCGCTTGTTGCATCCTAAGAAATATCAGTTGGGAGCTTGTTCAAAGCCAGCTTTTTGCGTGTTAGGCTGAAACTCTGGGCTTGATTTCACCCTCTTCTATATCCTCTTTTAGGCCATCCCTCCCTGTCCCCTGGTTTAATTACGAGGGGTCACAAACTGGGGACCAGAAAGACAAATCCAGGCAGGCCACACATGAGTTTTACTTAGTCTGACCAGTGTTAAAAAAACAAAATTCAACTGAGTAAATTTGAAAATGTAATTGGCTTTATTCATCCCATCTAGTTAAATAGAAGGGTGCTCTGAGGAGTTGTACAAAGTGAAAGGTTTTTATAGGTGAAAGGAGGGTGAGTCAGGAAGGTATAAGCAGGAGAAAAGAAAGGATTGTTTCAGGCCAGACTGTCTTCTTTGGGGGGAGGGGAATGGCAGGGGTCTTTATCGGGCAGATAACCTTGTTCCCATAGATGGTTTCAGATTGACTGTTTCAAAGGTCGCATTTCTAGGAGGGATTGAAACTGCAATTAAGTCTTAGTTTGCTGTCTGAGGGGGCAAATGACTCCATTTGGTGCTTGACCTTTCTTTTTCATGCCATTATTTTTTTAAAAGTCTGAATTTGTGCAGGGTCAGACCAGGCATTTGCTTTCCAGCTCACCCTGGGCCTGCCACACCAAGTGTGTTACACCAGTGGCTTCAGCTCTTTGCTCTCACTGCCTAGACCCTGACGTTAGATCTGAGCTTAACTCCTGCGTCTAGCCCGAACCTCTTTCTGAGCATTAGCCCCATAGATCCAGATGCCTCTTGATAGATAATCCAGTTTGTGTACTTAACAGAAGGCCTCGCATGTAGTACAGGGCTAAATAAATCTTAGCTAAGGGTGTTATTATCCCTACTGTGCACCTGCTCTTAGGGTCTTACAGGCTCCTCAGCTCAACCTGTTCAAAGCAGCACTCATCACTTTCCTCACCTTCACCCCAAGCCTCTTCTCAGTTTCCTCTTTCCACAAATGATCTCATCATTAAGTCATCTAGACAGTGTGGCCCTGGGCTCTTTTGTCTCCTTCATTCTGATTCATCATCACAGCTTATGAAAAATCTCTCTTGATTCCATCTAGTTTTCTCCATCTCTGCTGTCACCATTCTAGTCCCAGAGACCATCATTTTTGCCAGAACTATGTAGTTACCTAATTGTTCTCCTGCACGCATTATTGTTTCCATCTAACCCATTGTTCAATTCGAAGCCGCAGTTTTGTTAGGGGAACCACTGACTGAAACTGCCTGTCCTGGCCAGGCACTATAGTAACCACTCGCATGAGTTATCTTACAACAGGAGGTCAACAGCTACCACCGAATGGAAGAATTTGGGAAAGGTCAATAGGAGAGAGGAGACTCCAGTCCATATGTCCTGCCAACCTCCCAGAATCCTGCTCGCTGGAATCCGTCTTGGCTGAGTGATGTGCATGCCACCAGGAAGCACCCTGAGTCACAGCGCTTCACCAGAGACAACCTGGAAATTAACCCCATCACCATAGAGCCTGAGACTGCAAGCCACGTGGCAGAGCAGTTCTCCTGGGTTCCCTTATGCTACTGCTCTCCACCTGGGGGGCCCCTTTCCAATAAAGTCTCTTGCTTTGTTAGCATGTGTGTCTCCTCGGACAATTCATTTCCAAGTGTTAGACAAGAGACCGCTCTTGGGGCCTGGAAGGGGTCCCCTTTCCTGCAACAGTTCTACTAAATAAATTTGATCTTGCCTCTCCCCTGCCTGCAGTGGCTTCCCAGGGCCCCAGGATAAACCCCAAATTCCTTACCAGGACCCTCCCCAGTCTGGCTCCTGCTTCCTCCCCAGCCTCCCCCGGCAGTCTGCATTCCAGCCATCTGGGATTTGTGTTGTCTCTTGGATTGGCACAGGGAAGAGCTAAATCAGACTCCACCTTGGATCTGTTTCTTTGACTTTAACCTTTGCTTTAAAAAAAAAAAAAAAAAAAAAAAAAATATATATATATACATTTATTTATTTATTTATTTATTTATTTATTGGCTGCGTTGGGTTTTTGTTGCTGTGCACGGGCTTTCTCTGGTTGTGGCGAGCGGGGGCTAATCTTCTTTGCGGTGCGCAGGCTTCTCATTGTGGTGGCTTCTCTTGTTGTGGAGCACGGGCTCTAGGCACACGGGCTCTAGATGCACGGGCTTCAGTAATTGTGGCTCGTGGTCTCTAGAGCGCAGGCTCAGTAGTTGTGGTGCACCGGCTTAGTTGCTCCACGGCATGTGGGATATTCCCAGGCCAGGGCTCGAACCTGTGTCCCCTGCATTGGCAGGCGGATTCTTAACCACTGCGCCTCCAGGGAAGTCCAAGAAAATGTAATTCTTAAAGTCACAGGAACACTTAAAGAAAATGCAGTTCCTTCACTGGACTAAAATGTAGATTTTGGCTTTACCTAGTAAGCCAGAATGAAGGAGAAAATGTGAACTTTGTCTGTAGAGATCCTGAGGTTTGGGCCTAGACCACCACTTACTGCATGCATGCCTTTGGAAAATTTATTCAGCCTCCCTGCTTTACTTTCTTTCTTCTAAAATGGGGAAAATGAGACCTACCTTGCAGGATGGTTTTGAAGACTGAATACAATATGTAAAGGACCCAGCACAGCCCTGGTGACCAGGTGCTCATCGATGGCATTGTTTATAAGTCCTCCTGCATTTTAATTATTTAAAGGTCTCGTGGCCTGGCTCAGAGTTACAGGGAGCTCAGGACATACTGTACTCCCGGTGGGAAGAGGCACTATGTCTTTACTGTCAGTGCCTTAAGAGAATGAGGAAAAGCTGGCAGAGCACTAGGAAAGCAATTGCAGCAAAGGAGCATGGGAAATGAAAATGGGAGAATTTGGTTCTCACTGGATCTTGGAGTCACACTGAAGAGCAGGGATTTCTTTTCCTGTTCCCTTTTCCTTCTCACTTGCTCAGGAGGGAGGCTTCTCAGGGAGGGCAGCCAGGGGCAGGATCCCAACGGGCAGAAGGAGCCTTGCTTCTCCAGTCTGCTTCTCTCTCCAGTGCTTTAATGAAATTCATATTCAGACATTTAAAAAAAAATAACACTGGGGCTTCCCTGGTGGCGCAGTGGTTGAGAGTCCGCCTGCCGATGCAGGGGACACAGGTTCGTGCCCCCGTCCGGGAAGATCCCACATGCCGCGGAGCCTGTGCGTCTGGAGCCTGTGCTCCGCGACGGGAGAGGCCACACAGTGCGAGGCCCGTGTACAGCAAAAAAAAAAAAAAAAAAGACACTTTGTTTTTTTAATTTCAAAGGCAAATCATGTTCATTCTGGAAAATTCATAGAGGCAAAAAGAAGAAAAAAATTATCCAAAATTCTACTGCTAGATAACTACTGAAACCATTTGGGAGGCTATCCTTTCAAAGTTTTTTCTAAGCAATAAGGACGTAAACCAGTATATTCTTATAACAACAAACGAGATGGAATGGTACACAATGTTCCATAATGTGATCTTTTTCACTGGACAGATTTCCATGTCAGTAAATGAATGTATCTAATGTCATGATGGGTGACATCAGTGGATGCTCAGGTAGCCAGCCACAGGCACCCATGGTGCCCTCCCTGGACGGAGACGTGTAGCTTGTTTCTGTGAACCATGGTTCAGTGAGCAGCTTTATAGTCGAACTTAGTACAACCCACAATTGTTTCCTTACAGTGAATTCTCACATTCAGTCTTAATTTTCTCAAAAAAAAAAGAAGACAATAAGACAATGTGATTAAAATTTTTAAATCACAAAGAGGCCTCTTTGGAGAGGAGGGAAGAAACTGTAACTCAGCATATGATGCTTTTTATTTCCGATTCTGCTCAACCTCCACGTTTATCTCAAGCACAGCCTTATTTCTCGTCAACAAACTTCAGAAACAAGACAAAGTCCTTGTCCTTAAAGAGATTACAATCTAGTAGCATATATAAGAGACACAATAATTCTCTTTCATTTACACAAAAGTACCTGATTTTTTACCATGAAAAGCGAGGACAAGATGGATGCAATAATAATAATAGCCAATGTTTAATGAGAACTTACCATATCTGTGAACTGTTAGTATATTAAATGTTAGACAATTGTATATACACAATGTATATACAATTGTATAACAAATGTTACACAGTGTTATACAATGTATAACAACTGTTAGTATATTAAATGTATACAATATATACAATGTTATATACAGAATAAGCATTGTGATGTAACTTTCCAGGTATTGTGGCCTGAAAACGGGCTTGCTGATGTCCCCCATGGTGGGGTTCATAGCGACCAATCAGTGCACCTTCCACTCACTGGTCAGCTTTCCTCAGATCCCAGTGGCTGTGTTGGTTGTGGAGAAAGTTGGTCATTCCAGCGTGCATTACCACCTTGTTCTGTTTCCCCCCAAGCCCACCGAGGAGCCACCTTCCGTTGATCTCCGGTACCTCAGTGATGGCTTTTCCTTTGGCCACCCCAAGCTGGTGCAGTTTGCCGCTTTGGCTTGTACCACTGGGTCTTCAGTCCATGTCTTCGTGAATCCAGCCATCAGCAAGCCGGTGGGCCTTCCTGAAGACTTCCGGCGGGGCCTCCTGTGGCTGATGAGCCCGGCTCCAGTGTGAAGGTTTGTATGGGAATCGCGCCTGCCGGAAAATAAAGTGTAGATGATCCTCTAAACATTTTTTTTTTTAATTTAAGTATAGTTGATTTACAATGTTGTGTTAGTTTTAGGTGTACAGCAAAGTGATTCAGTTATACATATTTTTTCAGATTATTTTCCACTTAGGTTAGTACAAGATATTGAATATAATTCCTGGTGCTATACAGTAAATCCTTGTCGCTTATCTATTTTACGTAGAGTAGTTTGTATCTGTTAATCCTATACTCCTAATTTATCCCTACCCCCTCCCTTTCCCCTTTGGTAACCAAAAGTTTGTCTTCTATGTCTGTGAGTCTGTTTCTGTTTTGTATACAGATTCATTTGTATTATTTTTTAGATTCCACTATTAAGTGATACCAAATAATATTTGTCTTTCTCTGTCTGCCTTACTTCGCTAAGTATAATATTCTCTAGGTCCATCCACGTTGCTGCAAATGGCAATATTTCATTCTCCAGACAGTTTCTTTTTATTCCTTAGCATGTCTTTTCACCCTTAGGAGAGGGTATTTTTTACCCTTTATGAGAGTCACCTAGCTCCACCGATCAAGCATCTCCTTGTGTCGGGCCTGGGCAAAGTGCTTCACACTCAGGGTCTCACTGAGCCCCCCACAACCACCCAGCTGGGCTGGTGCTGCTCTTGCCTCCTTTTACAGAAGAGGAAAAGGAGGCTTGCAGAGTGGAAGTAATTGGCCTAGAGTCGTTCGGCTAGTGAGTGGGTCTGACTCTCAAGTCACCTGGGCATGCTCTCTACGGGCATCTTTCTTTATCTCAAGTATCTTAGCAGCACGGCCACATACTTGCTGTGGCTTAGGACCACTAATCTGATGTGAGTCATTAAATGTCCTCAGCTTCTTATACTTAATAACCATGTGAACTCGTTTATTTTTAAGTTGTGAACCTTAAAAAAAGCACAAAACTTTCTTTCATATACTTAAAACAACAAACACCTTTGACAATTTTCTGATAAATCCACAACCTCCATCAGTCACTAATGCCACACGTGGAAATCTAAAATGAACCACAAATAAACAAAATCTTTGATGCTGAAATACGTAAGGACCTTATTTTGGTGTAATAATAAAAATGGTTACCATTTCCTGAGCACTGACCACACAAAATGCTTTATGTTCGTTACCTTAATTCATCCTATTTCTCTTCTACAAGGTAAGTTATTGTGGCCATTTTTCAGATGAGAACCTTAAAGCTTTAAAGGGAACATCTGGAGTCGGCGAAGGTGTTCTAGTCCAGCCTCTGCCTCAGTCTTGAGAAAGGGAAAAGCACAGGCTTAATTTCTCTGGGCCTCAGTTTCCTCCTCTGAAAATATAACCTTTCCCAGCTGGGTCTCTGAATGTTTTTGAATGTGCAGAGAGTCTTTGGTCTGCTTTTGAATTACATTCCAAGTCCCTACCACATATAACTAGCTTTGGAATACCCTGACCGTGACAAAAACAACATTAAAAGCTATTCCTGGGCTTCCCTGGTGACGCAGTGGTTAAGAATCCGCCTGCCAATGCAGGGGACACGGGTTTGAGCCCTGGTCCAGGAAGATCCCACATGCCACAGAGCAACTAAGCCCGTGCACTGCAACTACTGAGCCTGCGCTCTGGAGCTTGCGAGCCACAACTACTGAAGCCCGTGCGCCTAGAGCCCGTGTGCCTAGAGCCTGTGCTCCACAACAAGAGAAGCCACCACAATGAGAAGCCTGAGCACTACAACGAAGAGTAACCCCCGCTTGCCGCAACTAGAGAAAAGCCCACACGTAGCAACGAGGACCCAACACAGCCAAAAATAAATAAAATAAATGTATAAAAAATAAAAAGCTATTCCTCTGTCATTTAATCCATTCAGTTTCACCCAGTAATAGATCAGTTTTCAGGTTTTAAAGCACTTCACACAAGAATTCTAAATCTTGGCAAGACCGCTAACCAGCAGCCTGGTGTTGGCAGGCATTGATCTATCTGACCTCTGGCATTTGACCACCTGAGGAAGGTCATCAGGGAAAACTCGGTCCTTGCAGTTCTTGCATGTGCATTACTTACCTCAGCTTTACCTCAAATCCAGTTAGTGTTTCCCCAGACCCAGACCCTGGAACTGACCAGAATTGAGCGTGCAGATGGATTCTTGGAAATAGCTCCAGGTTCATGTAAATCTCATGAGTTTAAGTGCTGATGACACAATCTTTCCACTGCTCAAAATTTTAAAACTTGACTGTGAGCCAAAGTGGTGGATGTTATGACACTCATTGGTTTTTAGTGGGACGTTCTAGCGCTATGAACTTGTTTTAAGAATACAGAAAGAGGGACTTCCCTGACCGTCCAGCGGTTGAGACTTTGCCTTCCAATGTGGGAGGTGCGGGTTTGATCCCTGGTCCGGGAGCTAACATCCCACATGCCTCGGGGCCCAAAAACCAAAACATAAAACAGAAGCAATATTGTAACAAATTCAATAAAGACTTTAAAAATTGTCTACATCAAAAAAATCTTTAAAAAAAGAATACAGAAAGAATAATAATAAAAAAAATACAGAGAGAGCCAAATCTTTAGTTGCATGTACTTGGAGGAAGCTAGATTTTACTACAAAGGTGGCAAAATAAATCTAGACTGTTAAAAAATCCAGTCAGCCATTCACCACTTTACGCCATACGATGTTTTTGCTGAGCTGCTAACAAGTAGGCATGTAGCTGTTGTTTGCTGGGCACTTCTGAGCAGATATGACTCCTGCATTTGCTAACAAGGAACAAGTACAGTAGTAATCCAAGCGGGTAAAGAAAACCTTCAGGTGTGCAGATTTTCTAACTACATCTTTGTTCCACTCGAATTCGTTCAAAAATCTACAGTAAGAGACAAGAGGTACAAAATATGTGTTCATGTTTTGCTTGGACAGATTTTGGCTCCTAGCAATTAATGCTTTCAGTCACATTAAGCATATAAATAATGCTTTGTGACATAACAGTATTTCCCATTACAGATCAATTTTGTAGCATTTGTTCATAATCAGACTTGAAATATTACCTAGAAACAAAATATGTTTTCCTTGAAACAGTCAGACCCTATTAGAAATCTAAGGCTTTACAAATCACCATGTTAACAGCTATGTCCGCTAGCTAAGGTTTCCTTTCCTTAAATAGTGTTAAATTCAGCCCCAGAAGCACTAGTCTCTTTGAGGTTTCTCTTCTTATGTGCACTGACTTGAAAGGAAAAACTTAGTGCTCAAAATATATTTAATGTCTTACTATGAATAACTTAATAAACTAACCAGTATTCCCTTTTGGGGGAAAAATAACGTTAGCACCCTTTAAAAGTGTTATGCTTGGGCTTCCCTGGTGGCGCAGTGGTTGAGAGTCCGCCTGCCGATGCAGGGGACACGGGTTCGTGCCCCGGTCCGGGAAGATCCCACATGCCGCAGAGCGGCTGGGCCCGTGAGCCATGGCCGCTGAGCCTGCGCGTACGGAGCCTGTGCTCCGCAACGGGAGAGGCCACAACAGGGAGAGGCCCGTGTACTGCAAAAAAAAAAAAAGTGTTATGCTTATGATTGGGTTACACTGTATTATTTTCTCATTTTTTAAAAGACAGGTTCTCATTGCTTGAAAAAAATGTGCCAGCCTATTTCTAGGTAAGAGGAGTTATTCTCATTTCCTGACCACATCTACTGTGGGTGAGCAAAGAAATAAAGGGAACATAGATTCAGAGATTTGGAGCAGTAAAATTTAGTGTTAAACTGCAGAGATTTTGGAGCAGGGAACACCTGGATTTGAGTTCTGGTCCTGTCGTATAATCACTCTGGAATCTTGGGCAAATTACTTTTCATTCAGCAAATGTTAGCTATTTTGTAAAATTTTTTTGTAGTATCCCCCCCCAGGAGTATTCTCTTTGATTAAAGCTACAACCTCTCATTCATTCGGCAAATAATTACAGAGTAGTTATTGTAGGTTAGGCTCTATGGTTCTAGGTCCTGGGAAGCAGCAGTAAATTAGACAAATCAGGCTCTTGTTGTCATAGAGCTTACGTACTAGCTCGGGGAAGGTGCACAACATACGGACAAGATAGTGTCAAATGGTACATTTGGTTGAATGGTGGCCCCCCCAAAAGATATGTCTACCTCCTAACTCCTGGAACCTGTGAATGTGAGCTTACTTGGAAAAATGGCTTTTTGCAGATGTAATTTAGGATCTAGGATTAGATCACCCTTGATTATCCAAGTGGGCCCTAAAGCCAATGACAAATGTCCTTATAAGAGACACACAGAGTACAGACACAGAGAGAGGAAGAAAAGGCCGTAAGATGGAGGCAGAGTGGAGTAATGCAGCCACAGCCAAGGAACGCCTGGAGCCAGCAGAAGCAGGAAGAAGCAAGGAAGAATTCTCCCCTAGAGCACAGGAGCCCAGTCCTGCCAACACCTTGATTTCAGACTCCAGCCTGTACTGTGAGTTTCTGTTGTTGAAAGCCACCCTCTTTTGTGGGAATTTGTACGGCAGCCCTAGGAAACAAATATAAATGGCAGTAGGTACATACCAAGAAGATAAAACAGGGAAATGAGATGGGGACTCAAATGGGACGTCTACAAATAATGGGAGTCGGGAAGGTCCTACTGAGGGAGTATGTTTTGAGTTACCCCAGTATGTGTGAGATGGGGGCTCCAAATCAGAAGGATAGCAAGTGCAAAGGGCCCAACCCGGAAATGAACTTGGTGTGTTGGAGGATCAGAAAGTCAGTGGGGCTGCTATGGGAGGTGAAAGGGAGTGGGGCTAATGAGTTGGGAAGGGACCAGTTGCTATAGGGCCTCCTAGGCCTTGATAAGGAGTCCAGATTTTCCTCCAACTGAAACCTGTCTCTGAAAGGTCTTAACATTAAAATGAGCTGCAGGTGCTCTAATTAGTATAGAGAAGTATATATGTATTAAATAAGTAAATATGAATATGTTCTGAACATTCTAATAGTTGGATTTTTAAAATGCAAAACTTGT